CAAAGGTTTATTTCTGGGATCTCCATTCTGTTGTTTCATCTCATTGTTTGTTATTGTGCCAGTAGATTGTTTTGTTATTCCTGTAGATTTGTTTTGAAATCAAGAAGTGCTATGCCTCCTTGTTTGTATTTCTAAAACAGTCTGGCTATTTATTGTTCCAATACGCTTTAGAATTTAGTTTTATATATCTTCAAAAGAAGTATGATAGGACTATTATAGACATTGATTCAATTTGTATATCACTGTGGAGAGTATTGACATCTTAACTTTTTAAATCATCTGACCATTGAGCTGAATGCATTAAAAAGTGTGTTTAATTTAGACTTATTTTTGTATTAGCGAGTTTGTGTTGTGCTTTTGATTTCTAGTTCCACTTCATTCATGTCAAAAAATATATGTTGTATGTTAGGATTCTTCGACTTGATAAGACTTAAGTGTCCTAACAGCATTTATCATGTATGATTGAAACCATAGTGTATTCTGCTGCTTTTGACTGAAGAGCTCTGTAAATATCTTTTACATCTAACTGGTCTATAATGTCTTACCCATTTTCTGTTTTCTTATTTATGTCCTGTCAAATTTTTGTATTCATCATTGAATGTGAGGTCTTACAGTCTCCTATAACTAGTGTGTTGCTAGGTATTTCTTGCAATACTTCTGTCCATACTTTTGTGCATATTTTCTTAATATGTTTAGAAACCTAGTTATATAATATATATTTAAAAATATATATGCAACAATATGTACATTACATGTATATCATCTATGTGTATTCTGTGCCATAGATTTCCTCCTGAAACTGACCCATTTTTTCGATTCATAAAAGTCTTTGTGGTAGTTCTGATGGTTTTTCACTTAAAGTATATTTTGTCTTAATTGAAAAAGCGCATCAGGAATACACAAAGACCTTTTATAATGAAAAAATGGGTCATTTAGGAGGAAATCTATCGGACAGAATACACATAGGATTGATATACATGTAATGTACATATTGTTGCACTATATATTTTACATATTATATTATATAACTAGGTTTCTAAAACATATTAAGAAAATATGCACAAAAGTACTGGACAGAAGTATTGCAAGAAATACCTGGCCAACACACTATTATAGCGAGACTGTGTAAGACTCACATTTCAATGATGAATCAAAAATTTGACAGACATAACATAAGAAACAGAAACATGGGTAAGACTATTATAGACTCAGTTCGAATGTAAATGATATTACACGAGCTCTTCAGGTCAAAAGCAGCAGATACACTAGTGGTTTCAATCCATACATGATAAATGCTGTTAGGACACTAAGTCTAATCAAGTCGAAGGAATCTAAAAACATACCCAACATTATCATTTTTGACTGAATAAGTGGAACTAGAAATCACAAAGCCACAAACACAAACTCGCTAATACAAAATAAGTCAAAATTAAACACACTTTTTAATGCATTCAGTCAATGGTCAGATATTTAGAAAATTAAGATGCTCAATACTCTTTGTTGTTTTTATACAAATTGAATCAACTGTCTCACTCTAATAGTTTTCAGTACTTCTTTGAATTGAAATAAAATTAATCTAAAGCTATGGTAATCATATAAAATATGCTCAGACTGTTTGAAATACTTCAAGGAGGCATAGCACTTCTTGATTCAAAAACAAATCTACCAGGAATGAACAAAAACCAATCTACTTGGCACAATAAACAAACAATGGATGACAACAACACGAAT